TCTTAGGATTACCTGAGGTGGTTGCATGGTTAGTAGAAGCTCTTATACCTGAGTGAGCAAATGCAGTGGTGGCTGAACTTCCTGAAGGGTTGGATGATGAAGTCACTCCTTCAAGATGACTGATCATCTTTCCAAATTTTTCATACTCAACTTTCATATCTGCCAACTGTGCACAGGCAGACTCAACTTCAGCATCTGTACTCGTGGCTGCATTTGCACTCCCTGTCTTCCTACTATCATTTTTCTTCTGGAATCGAACAGGAACAAGCCTGGGATATAATTTCCAGCACTTGTCCTTGGTGTGCTTCGACTTCTTGCAATATTCACAGACAACCTCCTTCTTTCTAGTGCCACTGGGAGCCCCTATAACTCTTTTGGGTTTAAACCCCATATTTGCAAATGCATTAGTGCCAACTCCTTGAACCTGTATCTGTCTTCTGCTTTCTTCACTGCTGACTAAAGCATATGCTTGTGATAATGAGACACTTTCCTTGGACATAATATTTTGTTTTGTGATGTCATATTCAAGGTTTAGCCCAGTTAGGAACTCAAAAACCCTGTTCCTTTCAACTAATTTCCCRTAGGTTTCTGCATCATTGGGAGTATCCCATGTCACAGCCTCTATCAGATCAATTTCTTGCCACAGAGATTTCAAGGTTGAGAAATATCCCGCAAGGGATTTCTCCCCCTGTCTTAGATTCTTCACATCACTCCTTAGTTTATAGGCTCTGGCTACATTCAGTTTTTGGGAGTAGGTTTCTGCAACACTATCCCAGATTTCCTTAGTTGAGTTCATCCAGAGATAATGTTGACTAATCTGTGGCTGCATTGAATTTACGAGCCACCCAATCACGGTGTAATTCTCTTGCACCCATTTCTCATAAGAGGGATCATCCTCTGGGGGAGCTTTCTTGCTTCTAGAGATAAACCCCCACTTTCCTCTATTACAAATATGAATTTTCACAGATTGTGACCATGCCAAATAGTTGGTTCCATCCAGTTTAACTATGGTTACAGCCAACAAAGAATCAGTTGGGGTCCCCAAAGTATGTCCATATTCAGCAGTACTCTTGCTCTCAATATCTGAGAAGTCCATCATGTAAAAGCTTCAATTAGGGTTTCAATAAGCATCCACTAGTGTACTTATTGTTGATGAACTCAAATTGAGTTGAATCGGCAACAAACACAGCAACACACAAACTCAGTTCAGACCTGACAGCCGTGAGAACTAAGTTCGGTGGCAGCTCTTTCAAGAAGAAGAAGGCCTGATTCAGCATTCAAGAGACAACAAGCAGACCTCCAAACACTATGTATCCGATTGGAGTTCCTTTCTAGTTAGGGATTCTAGGTTCCCAACAATATTTGCCCCAAAGAGAGCAAAATACAATCCACAGTACTTAAGAGGCCTTTTTACAAACAATATGTATGCAGCAGTCAACACCCCACTATTAACTAGTAGGAATCACTTCAACAACACTCCGTATAGGTCCAAGAAGTAACTGAACTGAAGTAGAGACTCGTACCACTGAGTCTAAACAAGTTTCGGCCACTTGGCAGTCCAACAAGATAAGAACCCATAAATCTCTGAGTTAAATTAGGCCAGCAACAGCTGAACWATAGAGCAGATAAAGAGGGGTTTCGAGTACTTTAACAGCTCCCCAAATCAGAAAAAATAACCTAGTAATAACTGAAGCAACTTACAGTTGAATGACTCTCTGATTTGAGCTTCAAATCAGGCCGAACAATCCTTCTCTCTGATTCTTCCTAGTCACCGAACTATTCTCCAAGCGAATAGAATCTTGGGCACTCTCCAATGACCTCCAAGAATCAGGCAAATGAGTCTAAACTTCCAGCCCTAAAACACCCTCATGTAGTCGGCTGGACTATAACCACATGAGAGCCACGCCAAGCTCAGGCCTGCTCTGATACCAAGATGAAAAACAGCCCTAGAAGTATGGGACTGTGCAAGAAAACCAGAAAGAACAAACAAGAGAAGATTAGAGAAGCTAAGAGAGAGAGAGTTGCGGCAAGGAGGGTTAGAGGATGAGAGGTTCGAACTAAACCTCCCTCTAACACTCTAATACACTTTTATTAAGTTAATCTTTGAGTAATTACAAGAGAGGCCCTTGGTTGGACAAGAAATTACAAAAATAGAGCATAGAAGAGTATGGGCCCAGAATAAGGCCCATTATAGAGAACATAAATATAACATAGAATAACAGCCTATGGGCCATTCGGCCCATCTTCTCTACAAAGAAGAAGAGAAAAAAGAGAGAGAAAGAAAGGGTTTGGCCAGAGAAAAGGAAAAGTCACTTACTCTCAGCCAACCCACTTTGTATTTATAGTCTTTGCATTAGAATTCAAAAGACAATCCTGCCCCTCATTAAGGATGCACAACTTAAACCCAAACAAAATACACAACTCATCTTTAATTAAAAAGACAAATGACCAAACTACCCTTATACTATCGATTCTAACACCACCTAACCTGATGTAACTAGAGCAAAGCCAACTCGCCTAACCTTACATGGCTAGATCCAAGCCCACTCAACTTAATATTATTAGACCCAAACTAACCCACCTAATTTGGTTTTGCTAGTCGGATACCAACCTAATACAATGGGACACACAACTTAAACCCAAACAAAATACACAACTCATCTTTAATTAAAAAGACAAATGACCAAACTACCCTTATACTGTCGATTCTAACACCACCTAACTTGATGTAACTAGAGCAAAGCCAACTCACCTAACCTTATATGGCTAGATCCAAGCCCACTCAACTTAATATTATTAGACCCAAACTAACCCACCTAATTTGGTTTGGCTAGTCGGATACCAACCTAACATGTAGGAAGACACCACGTGGAGTCAACAAAGTACCGCCCGCCAAGCGGTGACATCATCAATGCCACGTAAGTTTAGTTAAATCACGCAAGAGGTAGTAGCACACGTGAGTAATGAGGGATCTTGAGAAGGAAAGCCGATCCTCGGGAAATCCTCATGAGACACGTGGCGAAACCCCAACGACACACTTAATGATTGATAGCAAATCCAATATTCCCTTTCCTGATAGGAGACAAGCATCTGTGTCTCCTACCTTTTAGGATCTCGGGACTTTCCCCCTATAAATAGAGATCCTCCTCGTATTGAAATTCATTCGACTCCTAGCATTCGGCACCCAGTATCCAAGCACTCTCCCTCACTTTGATTCTTCTCCCCAATATCCTCAGCCCYAAGACCTATCTCCCTACTCACCGACCTCTCTTTGTTTTTCAAAGAGACCGCTTCTACCTGAGCCTTACCCTAACCTACAGGATGCTTTTTCACTTCTTGGCCCATGAAATATTTAGGACTTCCTTTAGAAGCCAATCCCAAGGAACACAACTTTTGGGATCCAATCATGGAAAAAATCACTAAGAAACTAGTCACATTGTGTCAGGTTGGTATCCAACTAGTCCCATTATATCTCATTTAGAGGGAAGAATAAATCTAATCAGAGTTATTTTGGCTAATCTTCTAGTGTATTACCTATTTGAGTTCAAAACTCCACAAGGAGTGGGGAGGATGATTAAGAAGATAATTTTGGATTTCTTATGGGAGCAAAGAGAGGGAAGAAAGGATCACTTGATCAATTGGGAAATGGTGTCTAGAAAGTAAAAGGCAAGGAGAGTTAGGAGTAAGCAACATAGAAAAGAGGAATTTAGCCTTGAGTTGTGGAGACTACTGGTAGACAAGGATAAATTATACCATAAGGTGGTGATGAGTGTACATGGGATTTCAGAATAGATGGGATACTCATTTATCTTCTAGGGTTATTCAGGCCTCTACTTGGAAGGCAATTTAATCCATATTCCTGTTTTTTCTCCTCCGCATCAAGCATTGTTTATTTAGGTAATAATATCCTTTTTGGGGAACATGTATGGGTAGGTCAATAATCTCCTTTAAAAGATCAATTTCCCAATCTTTATACTATGTCCTGCAAAGGGAAACGAGCCTCAAAATTTGCTGTCCCCAATCTTTATACTTTGAACTTCCCAGTGTTGTTAATATCTTACAAATCCTTAAAGGATTTTGCTTGGACCTCCTAAAGTTAGATGGTCTTATTTGGACTCCCACTTCTTTGGGATCTTCCTTTTGTGCTTCTTTTTTACAGTCTTATTCCAGCTTCCCATTTCATTGCAGCCTTTTCCTATGAAAGAGATTTGGTGTAAGCCCATCTTTCTTATGTGCTAGCTTGATTTGATCCCATATGGTATCAATTAATTGAAACTCTCGATCTCTGATTTTTTGGAAACAAAATCTCTAGGATCCTTTCCAAGGCTTGTAAAAGTTCTTGAAAAATCTCCAAAATCTTCAAAAGTTTAGGCGATTTTTATACGTAATGGTTAGCCTCCTCAAATGTCCATATGGTTTGCAGCCTTCGACCTGTATACTACTATTACTACTGTCAGTTTTTTATTTTGTAATTTTATGTAATATGTAAGAAAAAGTGAATAAATAACATGAAGCAAGAAGAAAAGTAGAAGAGATGAGAAAACAGGAGTGATGATTTGGAGAGGGAATAGTTAGGCGTTTGGCCTTTCTCCCATTATTTATATTATGAAATATGTAATAAAAAATTAAAAAGACAAGAACACCACTGGTGTAAGGATCTAAACTATTCAAGATGGCAACAAAAGATTGTCCCCCCACCCTCCCCCTAAAAAAAGAGGAAAAGGATCATTGATATCAATTTGCATATTAGGAAGCACCTCCCTAATTTGTTGAAAAATACATTGATTGAAAAAAATGTTGAGAAATGTACCTTTTTTTTTATAAGGGGAAAATTTTACAAATAATAAAACTAGCCTAACTGTAGACACTCTCAAGTGAAATATTTGTTTTCTTAATTCTTTTCAATAACAATAATGCATCCCTTCCCTGATCAACAAAAATAAAAAAATGTGTCCCTTCTTTTGAATATTGAGAATTCATGTTTATTTTCTTACTTACAGGTTGCTGAGGAAGGAAATTCTCCATTCACCTATGTCATTGTTGACAGTCAAACGTGAGGATCTATGCTTGTAGCATGGTTAATTTTTATTTATTCTGATATTAGCTATTAGAAATATCAAATGTGACCTTTGAAATATCTGATGCTTTTTGTCTCTTGATATCCTAAAGCGTACAAACTTTCATCTTTAAATATACAGTTTTATATGCCTTCTTATTTTTTGGTAATTTTCTTTTGTGCTATTGATGATGTATTGCTTTATTTCATGTATGTGGATATGTAGATGGTGGTTGGTTTTAGTATTGCTTTTGTGTGTTGATTTCAGATACTCTGTTTTTCATAATGGGCATAGTTTTCAAGGGGCCAAGGCGAGGCTAGGTGATAGGGGGGTGCCTTGTCGCCCAGTCCCCTAGGCAATGGATTTTTTTAAGTGAAAAATACATATCCTAGGTAGTTCCCTAGGTTCCATAACCATCTTTCCTTAATAACTATCCATAATTTTCTTATGAAAATTATAAACTTCATGTTTATGTCTAGAAAATCAACATATTTATGAGAAGAAAAATAAGAAAGAAAAGAAAATTCAATAAATATGGGGACTGAACCCCTATTTTGGTTATAGGAAAAGAAGAAAAGAAAAGGCAGAAGAAGAAGAAGAAGAAGATGTGGAGGAAGAAATGTGTTGATTAGACAAAACTTTAAGTTTTTCCCTTACTTATTGGTTCAAATTCTGAAGTCTTTGAGGGTTCAATACAGCAGTTAGCAATGWTTGTGTTGATTAAACCCTAACAAATAAGAAAATAATAAAAAGAAATTAGTTTATAAACACAAAAAATGAATATTTTTGTTTAATAATGTCTATTTTATAATTATAATCTCAAAAAAGTAACAATATAAAAGTATTTTATAAGACAATATACAAAACTGCTAGGCGACTGGACGAGGCGAGCCTCCAAGAGCGCCTTGTCGCCTAGGCGTCGCTTTGACAACTATGATAATGGGGTAGAATCCTACTGAAGACCCCCCTTTAGCCTTCTCTTTCTTGTTGAGGATCACTTTTCTCTTCATCTTTGTGTTTTTGAGTGTCTATTATGTTCATGTCCATAGCCAACAGAGACATAAATTTGAACATAAAGCACACAAATGTGTTTTTCTAGGATATGCCTCCACACAGAAGGGATATTGTTATTGTGATCCTGTGCGTCACACTCGTTTTGTTTCTAGGGATGTCACATTTGCTGAATCTATCCCTTCCTTTGGAACTTCTCCTGAGGGAGAGCATTCTGAGAAGTTGTTTGCTATGTCACTGGTTGTTCCTCTCCTAGTTCCTCTTGAATCGGTCGAATTGTCTACTTTTGTTGGATCTCCTTCCATTGAGTCTTCTTCAAGTGTTCCTGCTCCCCCTTCTCCTCTAGCTCATCCTCCCACTTTCACTTCTCATCCCATTGTCTAGAGGTGGTACCAAAGACAAAAGACTCAGGTATAAGCAAGTTGTTTCCCCTCCTTCAACCGAGCCTCTTGCACCTCCCATCACTACTGAGGTAGTTATCAGGTCAGCCCTCCTCTTCTACTCCCACTAATACCTTCCTATTGCCCTTTGAAAAGGCAAATGAAAGTGAACAGATCATTGCATCTCCAAACACTTGTCTTACAACCTTCTTTCCCCAGCCTGTTATTCCTTCCTTGCCTTTGTTTCTACACATGCTATTCCTAAGTCTGTCCCGAAAGCCTTATCTAAACCAGAATGGAGGATGCTATGATGACTGAGATATATACTTTACATAAGAACAATACCTGGGGCATTGTGGACTTGCCTGAGGGGAAGGAACCAGTTGGTTGTAAATGGGTTTTCACTATTAAGTACCATTTTGATGGTACTGTTGAGAGATTTAAGGATCGACTGGTTGTTAAAGGTTACACTTAGATGTATGGTGTTGATTACCTAGAGACCTTTGTCCTTGTAGCTAAAATGACCTCAGTTCGGATTTTTCTATCCTTGGTTGCTAATTTTGACTAGCCACTTTATCAATTTGATGTAAAAATGTTCTTAAATGGGGATTTACATGAAGAAGTTTATATGTCTTTACTTCTAGGGATGTATAGGAAAGAAATGAAAGGGAAAGTGTAAATTGAAGAAGTCCCTTTATGGCCTCAAATAGTCTCCTAGAGCCTGGTTTGAGAGATCCCGGGCTGCCCTTGTTACCTTTGGCTGCACACAGACTTAGTTTGGTCATACTCTATTTGTTAAGAGGAAAGATTCCTTGGTGACCTTATTTACCTTTGGCTGCCATTGTGGTTATTGGTGATGACACACAGTAAGTGCTTAACCTTAAAATGTTTCTTAGCACTAAATTTGAGATTAAAGACTTGGGTGAACTCAAATATTTTCTGGGAATTGAAGTTGCTCGGTCCAAGGATGGTATCTTCATTTCTCAGCATAAGTATATTCTTGATCTTCTTACTGAGACTGACAAACTTGGTGCTAAACCGGCTTCTACACCTATAGACTTGAATCACAAACTCTTAGCTACTGATGGTGTAAACGTTGGCTGATAGGAGAGTGTCCCAAAGACTGCTTGGAAAGTTGTTGTATCTCTGCATGACCTGGTCGGTATCTCCTATGATGGTGTAAACGTTGGCTGATAGGAGAGTGTCCCAAAGACTGCTTGGAAAGTTGTTGTATCTCTGCATGACCTGGCCGGTATCTCCTATGCATTGAGTGTCATTAGTTAGCTTATGCATTCTCCTCAAGATAGTTATTTGACTGCTGCAGAGAGGGTCTTGTGTTATCTGAAAGGTACTCTAGGGGGTATATTGTTTGCTAAGCATGGGCACTTGAAACCGGAAGCATACACTTATGTAGACTAGGCTGGATGTGTTGATGATATGAGGTCCACCTTGGGTTATTGTACTACGGTGGCAAGGAACATTGTTTCATGGAGGGGTAAGAAGCAGTTTGTAGTGGCTAGATCCTCAGCTGAGGTAGAATACAAGGCAATGGTGCATGGAGTTTCAAAACTATTGTGGCTTAAATCACCTATGGGGGAATTGGGTATTGATTGTGAGAAGCCAATGATGCTATATTATGATAACTAAACAGCTACCAACATTGCACATAATCCTGTCCAGCATGACATAACAAAGCACATAGAGGCTGACAGACATTTTATAAGGGAGAGAATTGCTTCAGGGGAAGTCTGCTTGCCATTTATAGCTTCTAAAGAGCAGTTGGCTAATGTCTTGACAAAAGGTGTTCCAAAAGGGAAGCTAATACACTATGTAAGCAAGCTGGGCATGATTGATATCTATGCTCAACTTGAGGGAGAGTGTAGAGAGATTGGGCCGAATGGGCCCTAGTACATCACTATGTTATTTTTTTGTTTTTTATCTGTTATGTTTGGTTTATGGGTCTGTTAACTTAAGTATGATTATGAGTTGGCTGCCCATTTAAGGGTAGATTTGTAATTGTCCTTATTGAGTTAAGATTAATAAAAGATTAGAGGAGAAGAGAAGGGGACCAAACTATCTTCTTCCTCTCCTTTCTTCTTCATCTACTTTTTCCTTTTCTCTATTGTTTCTCTTCTTTCTTCTCACCTTTTTCACAAATCTAAGATTTATTTTCTGATTTATTCGACTGAATCACATCTCTTTCTTTACAAACAATGTATGATCTTGACATTGTTTAAAATTCATTTGCTGCACAACCAGATGAAACCTACTGAACCAAGCCTGATGTGACTGCTTTAGCCCATATAATGATTTTTTTAACCTACACACCTTTTCACTACCTTTTTTACAAAAACCAGGAGGCTTAGTCATGTATACCTCCTCTAAATCACCATTCAAGAATGCATTTTTAATGTCTAGTTGGTGAAAATCCCAGTCATAATTAGCTACAAGAGAAAGGAGGATCCTGAGTTCATCTTAGCTACTGGGGCAAAGGTCTCCGCATAGTCCACTCCATACACCCAAGTAAACTCCTTTGCCACCAATCTGGCTTTGTACTTTTCCACTATACCATCAACCCTATGCTTCATGGTGAACACCCACTTGCATCTCACTAGTTCTTTTCCTTTGGGAAGATCAACCAACTCCCAAGTGCCAATTTTATGCAAAGCATTAATTTCTTCTTTAATTGCATTTGTCCATTCAGGTGTGGATAAAGCTTCTGTCACATTCTTAGGGATAGAAATGCTGTCAATGGAGATAAGGAATGCACGAAATGAAGGTGAAATATGATCATAGGAAACAAAGTGAGAGATAGGTTGAATAGTAGTACAAGATCTAACACCCTTTCTCTTAGTAATAGGAACATCTAAATCATCAATAGCAAGAGGCTTAGGCATATCTATAGGAACAAGGGTACCTGGCTAAGGAGGATTTGCCTCTGGAGAGTTTGATGATGTTGGTAGCATAGTTTTAGGCTCCACAGTTTTTGAACTCTGCTGGCCCTTGCAGTGATGATGAAAGATACAAAATGGGGGACGATGAGGAAGAGGAGGAAGCTGAACCTAGACGTGTTTCTCCTCAACCCCTATCTCCCCTTGAGGAGAAATAGGGAAGAAAGGTTCCTTTTCAAAGTACTTGTAGGAAGTAGGACCAAAGCATTAGTAGTCCTTTTGAGACAAAGGGTAACCCAAAGAAAAACACACAAGATAGCACAAGGATCAAACTTACCATGGGTAGGAGCCAAGTCATGAATGAAACAACAACATTTGAAGACACGCATTGGAATAGAAAGCAAAGGGGCCTTAGGGAACAAAAGTTGATGGGGGGCCTTATACTCTAGCAATCGAGAGGGCATGCGATTGATAAGATATGAAACACACATAACAACATCCATCAAAAAACGTTTGGGAACATGCATATGTAATAGAAATAGTCCATGAGCATCCTCAAGAAGGTGGCAATTTTTTCTCTCAGCCACACCATTTTGTTCAGGTATTCTAGCACAAGAACTTCGGTGAAGAGACTCACACGAAGCAAAGAACTCCGTGAGATCATTGTAAAAGTATTCCTTTGCGTTGTCTGACTGGAAAATATGAATCTCAATCTAGAATTGAGTAAACACCATACATTGAAAATCTTTTTTTTTTTGATGAATAAAAGTAGTTTTATTAAATCAAATATCAAAAATACAATCAGCCTATGAGAAGGCACGAGATGTTACCCCCCCTAGGACTGAACCATATACACCAAAACTGCCCAGGCCTAAGACACAATTACAAAGTAGCCCAAAATAGATATCCCATTTACACCCCTTGCTTGGCCAAAGAATCAGCCATTGCATTTGCTGATCTTCTGACCCATTGAAACCTGACAGTCATATTCCTTGTCATCCATTTAACTTCCTTTAACAGATCCCTGTAGCCCCA